CCCCCAAAACCCCAAAACCCCAAAACCCCTATGTGTATAAATTTTATTGAAAATGCTACTTTTAAATACTTTCATATTTTATTTATTATGAGGAAAGAGAACAAGTATTGATATAAAGCGTATGCTATGTTTGCATGAAAACTTAGGTTAAAGCTTCAGAGAAGCTCTTGGCCCAAGGAAATCCTTGACTTTACTTTTAATACAGTTGGCAATATTTAGAAACATAATAATTGTTACTCATTAATTACGCATAGTTATATCTTTGATAACTGCAGCTCTGTCTAGGTTCCCGTACCCCCATGGTCGCTACTGAAGTCTAGATCTTTGTTAAGTCTGGAAGGAATTTGGCATAGGTCTTGTTGGCGATTATTTCCTGGTCTAGGACTCGGTGTAATATGGGAACTCTTCAGTGTCGGCAAATGGATTTCCTCTGTTTTAAAAGGCGTAGCTTTAGAAGGTAAATTCCTAAAAGGTTTCGGAGTTTTAGTAATTTTTGCAATTTTATTTGTAAGTTGAGAAATGAGGCATTGTTGTCGAAGTCTTTTTAGATTTTAGACTTGATGATTTCAAGTTATTTAGATATTTTCGAGAGAGTAACCTCTAGCATGTTGATATCTAGATTGTATATACTTGTATTCAGCCCGTAATCAAACTCTTTATTATTCTTCAAATATGTAAGCTCTTCTGAGTACTGTTGAATTTTATCCTTTGTGTACTCAAAATCAGACTTTCGCATGTAAAAGCTCATATAATTGTGACTACTAAAGTAGCTATTTAGGAAAGCAAGCTGGTTTACTCATTCTGTCTGGAACTGCTTATAGCGAGCAATCAGACTTCTGTTGCTTGATGGAAAGTTTAATGAATTGTTCAAATTTCTGATTTCCTTTACTCTCTGATTAGCAATGTAATCAATTTTTTGTTTTATTTTATCAAATGCCTCATAAATTTGGCTTATAATTTCATTATTTGTGTCTGGTCCTTGTGTGTCAGTCTGAATTGTGCTGAGAATTTTGTTAAACCCATCATATTTGTATTGCAAGCCTAATTAAAATAAGCTCTAAAGACTACTTTTATTTAAACTTCTCTATTTCCATTTCCATTGACTCAATCGAATGTCCTTGATGATCACTGGTTCATTCTTTACACAGGAATAAGCTATCTATCGGACAAAAATGAGAATGTGGTTGGCCATGCACTTCTCATAAGTTTGCTAAATTATTTAAGCCTTTTCATCATAATTAAATTCTTACTATTTTCTTCACTAGGCTTCTCGAATGTGATATTGGACTTTTTAATGGTTTGTCTTCCCTATAAGAATCAGCTGCTTAGTGAAATTTAGATCGTAAGATAATTTGTTCTTATTTCTCCAGTTTCGGAACCTAATATGCTTACTTTCATAAATTTGTTGTTTGTAAATATTACAATTAAATTATACTAAGAGGGGTTTTGGGGTTTTGGGGTTTTGGGG